ACTAACCTCGTCAAACACCTCAGAGTAAATCATATCACAGAATATGACAAGCGTATGTTCAGGCGAACTGAAGAGGAGGAGAGGACAGGTTTTGCTAGGGCGAGACAGACATCTCTCACGGGGTCCTTTAGTGCTGCAGGCAGGCAACGTTTTCAAATAGCGCACAACTTCAAGTTTTATTTCTATATGATAATTCTGCATTATTAGGCAATAAGAACAAGTAGTCTGATGTCCTGTGATCATTATGAAGCTATATTATTATATTATTATTACAATTACATAATACAATTATATATGAAATACAATGAAAGTTTTTGTACAAAGTATCAGTATCGCATCAGTATCGTCGATACCACCCTGAATTTTACTTGGTATCGGATTGGAAAGGAAATCAGTGGTATTGCACATCACTATTGCTAGCTAAAACACCGGTGTCGACACATAAGGATGCTGTCATAGCCTCCAGTCTGTCACAGGGCTAACCATTGACACAGACAACCATTCACACTCACATTCACACCTATGGGCAATTTAGTGTTTCAGATTAACCTGTCCCCTCTAACTCCATGTCTTTGGACTGTGGGAGGAAGCCAGAGAACCCACGTAAACACAGGGGAGAACATGCAAACTCCACACAGAAAGACCCTGGCCTAATGGTGGAATTGAATTCAGGACCTTCTAGTGAGGCAACAGCGCTAACCGCTGTGCCACTGTGCTGCCTGGATAGAAAATCATGACCTAAATAAATAAATTAAACAATAAGGGCTATCAGAAACAGAGGCAATGTCCATTATGCCAAAATGACTTAAAATTATATAATTTCTCATTCCTGCCTAGGGCTCTGACAAAGAGCTTCTTTCTTGATATTGCCTTTACTGTGATCCATCTATGTAAAATTCTCCTAGCCATCTCACAGAAGCTCTTGTTAAAATAAAATTGTTTTTTTTGATCTGTTTCATTCATATGTGGTTTCAAGTACTGATGTAATTTCTTGATACAGTAACCACAAGCTCAGAGCCCCAATGACTGAATCCAGGTAATTCTCTTGGGTCTGTCAAGAACAAAGATATCAAATTTGCTGATTCTGGAATAGCCTGTGGACCCTGGTTCTTACATACAGAGAATGGGAAACAGCAGTCAAATACTACTGCTACTAGTACTAAATCATTCTCATATTTTTATACAGTGTATATGCGATGCTGATATGTATTGCCCTTGTTCATTTTATATATTTATTTTTATTATAGATTGTACAACTATCTTTCCTTGAAATTAAATTCATAACATGCATAACATTGATTTTTTGCCGTCACTGATGTGACTGGGTCGGTTTCTGCTCAGCTGCAAGAGTAAAGGTGGACCAGAGCAGTTCAGCAAAAGGCTACTTTTTCTTTTAAGTTAATGAAACACCACATATAATATTGTAGAATCGCCAGGTGGTTGGGGTTGATGCAGGGCTGCAGGGTGCATGACTCTAACACCGTATCCAGTATCGGTTTTGTGGTGAGAGATTTTTTTTTTCTACGTGAAGCCAGACCATGAACTTTCCCTTAGTGCGGTTAGTATGAAAAAGGTTGGAGTCCCTGTTGAACAATATTCCAAAATGAGATTTTTGTGTCAATATTTACACAT